TATTATATATTAATTATTAAATATAATTTTATTTAATATGAGACTTCTCATATCTGTCATGCCTCAAAATATGGGAGTAACTGATACAGAATATGCATCTAAATACACATCTCTTAAGCTTAATTCAAAAATTTTTTTATTTTTAAAATATTTTTCATTTAAATGAAACCTTGATATTTAACAATTAAGAGCTCAATGCCTTCTATCGAGTAGACAAGATTTTTAATAAAATAAAAACCTTAACAATAATTTATATGGAGCATCTATAACATTACTTATAAAAGTACAATATATATATATATATATATATTAAAATTTTACATTAAAAATAGAGATTAATTAAAATGGCATCTCAACTTCAATTTAATAGTAAAATTCCTTGAATGATCTAACAGAAATACAAGCTATCTGAAACAAAATATTTTTCAATGAATAATATTCCAACTATAATATTTTTGCAAATTCAAAATAAATAAGCTATGACATATACATAAATTAAAGAGAAGGCAATTCAATGTAAGCAAATTTGTAAGCTCGAAATAAAAGTTCTACATAACTTCAATATCAAGAATTTTTAAATCTATAACAACAAAGCAGCTTTAATGTTTGATTTTGACAAGTCAAAATGATTAAATAAATACATAAATAAAAATAATAACATTTGCTAATTAAAAAACCATTAAAGTATAACACCATCAATTAATTAAAAATTTATATTTTTAAAAATTTATTATAACAATTCACAAACGTGGATACACAGTCCACGAGGATAAATAACCAGATACAGCTTATGCTACAAAGACAAACGTGGACACATAATCCACGAGAGTAATATTAACCAAACGTAGTTTGAGCTACGAAACCAACGCAAATATTCGACCCACGAACAACAAATGTGAGGACAAATCTTACAAAAATTAAATTAACTAGTCATTGACCATGACGCCTCAAGGGTTAATTGAACCGTCATTTGTAATCAATGTTTTATATAAAATCCTCTTCAAATTTATTTTCAAATATGTAAAAAAATCATCACTATTGAAATATAATTTCCATTCTCATAATCAAAATTGCATAATAGTTTTGAGCATAAAAAAAACTTGTCAAAATAAAATTTTATAACTAATGTACATGTTTGGCATTTATTAAGCAATCCACAAATTTTCAGAGTGAATAAAAATAATCTCATTAATCTTGAAAGTATAATTCATAAGAAAAACACATATACATGCCATAATTTAAAAATTCTCCACCATCTCTTTATAATTTTCAAGACAAAAATAATTTAATTAACAAAGTATTAAATACTTAATATAATTGTTATTAAATGATTAATGTAAAAGAAATATTTTAGTAAAAAATTTTATTGATAAATTAATTGAAACACTATTAACTTGTCTTTAGTGTGCTCAAATACTAGAACTTATTTCTTAGGACTTCATTCAAGTCTCCTTTCCTCTAAACACCCTATTTAATATAGGGACAATTACATTAAAGTCCCATATAAGGGAAATAATTATTGCAAGCTTTATTGATAATTGAACTAAACTGTATTGATAACTGTTTTTTTAATGCAGTTTAGTTCAGTTGTCAATCGACCTTACAGTAATTAATTCTCTTGTGTGGGACTTAACTATAATTCTCCCTTTAATATAAAGAACAAATTAATGGCCCTTACTTTAGTCAAATAAACTATCTTCCAATATTTGCAACGCTATAATCAATCGAGTTTAAAATCACTTAATCAACCAAATCTCAATTTCATCAATCATTTTAATATTTTACATGTATACCTTTCTATCCGACATTTTCATTAGATTTTAATTTGTCCTTCCAACTCTTATACTAAATTTCAATCAAGTGTATATATATGCATCACAAAATGTAATCCATTAACCATGAAAGAAAATCTTATCATCTCCCTATTTTATATGTTTCACGCTTCACTGTAGCAGCCCAACTTTAACCACTTCAATATATATATAATTTTCTTAACTTTCAGGTCTCAACATTACAACTTCATGTAAGTGAAATTTCATTACTTTCATCATCCAGTATTTTATCCACGTCCCAAAAGCTAATCATAAGAACAACCCAACTTGGTCCCTGATTTATCAACCAAATACCAATTCCAAAGATCCTCTAACTCTAAGTTCAACCTTCATAAAAAATTATTGTGTCCAATGATAATTTAATCAACAACAATCAATTTATCACACTTATTTGCTATTAAAGTCCAACACCCATCTAAAAAAATTTCTAAATTCAACTCTACTTCCTTTGTAGCGAATAAATGCCTTCCATAACTATTTAATTAACCACAGTATAAACATCACATGCAATTTGTCGCCATAATCAAGACCCCTGCAAACAGACATTTTACCAAACATTTTATATGCATTAATCTGTAAACTAAAATTCTCAATTCTTTCTCTTCAAAACTCATTCCAATGGTTTTCAATATTTGAATTCATCAAACTTCCCAATTTTTTTTTAATTCAACACTCACCAACAAAACTCAAAGAAAATTAAATCTAATTTCTTGCTCTGCAACAACCAACACAAAAGTGAAATTATCAACTGAAAATTATGCTTTTAACTAAAGTTTCAATCTGATCAAACTTCATCTACTCCCCCTATCACGTACAGCAACAACAAGAGAGATATCCCAACTCAACCAAACAATATACACACAGAATCAGTGAGCGAAAATAGGACCTGAAGCACCTACCTCGAATCAGCAAAGTTAGACGAAGGAATAGGAAACTGACAGAGAAAAAAATGAAGGATGAAACTGACGCCCCAACAACCACCCACGCACAAATGCAGCGGTGGCATTAAACTAAGAAGGAGCAGGGAAACCGTTGCACGAACAAGGAAGAACAGGGGAGAAAGAAGATCACGAACCTACAGCAGTACTCACATTAGCAGCAAACCAAAGGAGAAGGAAGAAGGATGAGCTCCACTCACCAACACCTAAACGACGCCGAGGAAGGGAGAAGAAGAGGAAGGGATCGATGATAAAGCAGGAACAGGGGGCGACGAGCTCGCGACTCCAACCTCGACAGTGGCAGATTCCCAACGGCCATCACAGCACCGGCGGCGGCAACGACGGAGGTAGGCGGAGGCTATGGTCCGAAGGTCTCTCCCCCCCCCCCCCCACCCCCCTTTTCTCTCCCTCTCCTTGCTCTGGATTGTTCGAAACTCCAGGCAAGAGAAGCAATAAGAAAGTGAAGGACAAAGCGTGAGGATCTTTGACTTGATTTTTTTTTTTTTTACTTTAAGGGTAACATAATAATTTTACCTTTGATGAAAAAAAAAAATAAAATCTCCTAATTTATGCTTCATAGATACAAACCCCCAACTTACATGTGAAGGTCCAAACAATAAATTTATTTAATAATTAATTATTGAGTTAGAATTATATTTTAAAATAAATTTTGAGAGGTTGCTTATAGATTTAATTTTATTATTTAATAATAAATTTTACTTTTTAAATAAAATTTAACAAATTTAATAATATTAAATACGACTTATCAATAATTTAATTTTAAAAAACAATATCTTTTATGATAATTTACACAGTTAAACTCAATTTCAGTATTCAAATAAATTGTGTTATAATATAATTAATTATAATTAAGATTAATCATATTAATCAATTATTTTTATAATTAATTATATCAATTAAAATTCAAACAAGCCCATATTTGTTGTCATTTTAGTGCATTCAGTTGTTAATTAATCTGGTAGCATTTAATGGTATGGTCTTACGTGGGACCGTAATTCTCCGACTTGTTTTATGGTTTTACCGTTGCATATTTAAGTAGAAAATGAGTCATTAGAGATTACCGTTGCGACTAGTTTACAATTACATTGATTTCTTCTTCTTTTCTTTTTGTATGACTTTGTCATAGCCGGAAGCATGGGGTAAATGAGAAAAGGAAATGCATGAAAAAAAAAACATACAAAATATTTAGGAAATCAATTTAATTAATTATGTCAATATAAAATATAAAAATAAACATAATAATTTTTTGCAATATTTTAATAGAAAATTATGTTGAAATTTAATGGGCTCTTTAATTTGTTTTACCTTGCAAAATATTTAAAAAATAAAAATAAAAATTTTGAGGCACATTCATACTCCACCAAAAATATCAAAGACTAATCTGTGGTCTTCCTTATATCAGGGTATTGAAGACAATGAAAGACTAGGTTAACAAGTTCAAACACCCAACAACCTGCAAAATTTCTTCATTAACATCAATTTGCAATTAACCCCATCTTATAAGTTCGGCCACATAATTCATTAAATACTCTTTCGAGTTCTAATTGTAGGACATTTCCAGCAGCAATTTCTACTAAAAATGATGGATAAATTGAAATATTTAAATCAAAATTTTTAATTTTATTCCTTTTTTATTAACGTGGAATGAATTGTGCTGTTTTTGAGAAGCTATTTAAAGCTTGGGTATCAGTTATATATATATATATATATATATATATATATCATTATTTAATGAAAATGGTACAAATAAAAGTACATTTTATTTTTTAAATCACACTTAAAAAAAACTGATTTTTTTTTAAAATGTGTGAAATAGTTGAAAGTATCTTATAATAAAGATAGAAGGGAGTACAAGAGAAGAAGATTAAAGGCCTAATCATTTAATTATTAAATCACTAACAACGAATTATTAATGCTAAATTTTTTTATGTACTATTCATTATGAGTTGTATATTTCATTCTTTTTTTTTTTTTAAAACTCATCTCAATGATCTCATAGATCATCCCCATCTCCCCTGCTTTCTCCTCTCAACGATAGATATCGACGATGTGTTGATTCAATATAATGGAACGACACAGATTCAACCAAACATAAAACCATCGACACATATATCAGTTCTTTTCTTTGTCTACAGTCAAAATTACTTCCAAACAGACCAGGCCTCAAAATTATTGATGCATCCCAAATCAATAAACCAAAACAAACAATAATTATAAAAAACACACACACACACACACCATAAGAGTTAAAATATATAACGATTTTCAGACCCCAGAGTGGACATATATATCAAGCAAACGCTTTTATGCATTTGGATTCTGTTGAGCTTCAACTTCTTCGTTCATCTTCAACCTCATGACCTGTTCTATGTCTTCAATAAACAACGACATGTTCAGGCTTGAAGATCCACCTTTCTCCATTGCCTTTTTTGCTTTCTCTGCATAATTCCTTGCCCTTTCTCTTATCCTCTCACTCTCTTCATCTTCTTCGCTCATCACTTTCTCTATTGCTTCTGTCACTTTTTCCCTCTTTACCTGAACCCCATACTTTTCTTCTTCCCAAAAATTCATAGCACTCTCAGCTCCCAACCTAACACCTACCTCCAGCACCTGCACAATAACCTTCTCATTATAAAACTGATCAGAAAACAAAGGAAATGTTATTAATGGCACTCCACTGCATATCCCTTCAAGTGTAGAGTTCCATCCACAGTGTGTTAAGAATGATCCTATTGCTTTGTGTGACAGTATCAGAACTTGAGGCACCCAACCTCTTACTATCAGTCCTCTTGCTTTCACTCTCTCCTCCAATCCATCTTCCTTCAGTGACTTCTCCATTTCCTCTCTTCTGTTTGAATCTCTCAGCACCCAAATGAATGGTCTCCCTGTAGCTTCCAGTCCCAAACCAAGCTCCATTAATTGTCCTGGTGTTACATTGTTTAAGCTTCCAAGGCAGACATAGATGACAGATCTTGCTGGCCATGAATCAAGCCACTTCATCAGATATTGTCCTTCTTCTTCTTCTTCTTCTTGGTTCGAGTCTGTGTTTCCTCTCTGAGCTTCATCCATGAAGTTCTTGTCTGAGAGTGAGACTGGTCCGACACACCAAACCTTTCTACCTGTGACTCTTCTATACTCCTTCACGTATTCATCTTCCAGCTCTTCAAAGCTATTCACTATCACCCCATAAGCTGCTTCTTCAAATTCCCAGATTTTCTCACGAAATCCAGAGATGCCCATTTGCTTGCTATTATTAATAATATAAGTGTGAAGCTGATATCTTTTAAATGCAATTTCATTGGGTAATCCAGGGACGATGAATGGTTCAGAATCATTGGAGACATTCTCATAAACCTTAGAAGTACGAAGACAGTGAGTGCATAACATGTTGAAACAACTTGTCCCATCGAATGTTATTCTGGGAACTTGTAACTTTTTTGCAATGTCAGCTACAGATAGAATGTTTTTATCAGATATAATGCAGGTTGGAGTGGGACTAAGCTTTTCAAAGAGTTGTTCAAGAGGCTTCTGCAACATACCCATAGCTTCGTAAAATTTTGTGAGAAGATCCTTGGAAGGTAGGGTATCAAGGCTCTCGCATCCGTCAGGGACACCAGATTGAGCATTTGGGAATTGAAAAAGTTGAATTTGGAGGGATGAATTATTACCAGACTGGGGGATCCCTCTGTCAATGGTGGCCTGAACCCTAACGGCGTTGAGGGGTGTGGTGGCGAAGGTCACCTTCACTTTATTCTGACGAGCCAGCAGTATGGCTATGTCCACCATGGGAAGAAGACGACCTGGAGCCATGAAGGGTATCAGAACAAAGTGATGATCAAGCTTCTGCGATTCCATGGTGAAACAGAGATGGTGGTGGTGGTGGTGGGAGACGCTTATATATATATATATATATATATATTTGTCTGTGTGTTTGGGGTAGAATTTTTCTTAATTTATGATCCGATAATCATTTCATTCGTTCGTTATTTCTTTCTAGCTTGAACGGATTCGTTCATTGCATTGAAATCAATACACATTAACGGCCCTTTTTATGTTCAAATGTATACAACTGGGTTGAATGGATTTGCATTAAGTGGGTGGATTTGTACCATTCACTCAATGAATGTACACCTGACATCAAAATAATTGTCTATTTAATAAAACCATGGTCAGAAATTGTCATGATATCATTCAAACGTTAAATCTCAAATTTTTAAAAAGAATAATATATAGATATATATATATATATATATATATAAAGGTTGGTTGGAATATTTTGAATTTTTAAAGAAAAATATATTTTAATAATTTTCACTTTACTACTACAGAATTTAAATTCTGTGGTGTTTAAATTTTTAATTTTCTAGTGATTATTAAATGTTATAAGCTTTAATGCTATAATAGATCTCAAGTGGCGTTTCATGAATTAATGAAACACTGCAAGATTGATGTAAAAGTGAAGGCATTTATTTTGACAAACGCCACTTCTTTCAACGTATTTTAAATTACAAACTCAAAGAGATGGCATTTCTATGGTGATTTTTATTAACTGAAACGTCACCTCTCTCACATGATTATTTATCTAATAACAAATATAATAATGCTTAAATTCATTGTCCAGAACACAAGAGAGGTGACGTTTCTACTAACTACAAATGCCACCTCTCTACAATAATTATTTAATAATTTATAATTTTAGAGAATTTTGAATTAATCAATATATATATATACACACAAATTTGTAATTTTTTATTAAACAAATTATATTATAGTAATTTTCTAAACCTTTAAAATTAATTAGTCAACAAAATTTTTAATTAGGTTATTGTGAAAGTTTTATTTATCTAATAACATATAAAATAATGATTAAATATCTTATACAAAAAATAAGAGAGTTGGCATTTATAATGAGTGCATAAGCCACCTCTCTACAATAATTATATTATAATTATTTATCTAATAACTTATATAATAATGCTTAAATTTGTTGTCCAGAAAATAAGAGAAGTGGCATTTCTACTGATTATAAACAACACCTCTCTACAATAATTATTTAATAATTTATAATTTATAAAATTTTGAATTAATCAATATATATATACAAATTTGTAATTGTTTAATAAATAAATTATATTATGGTAATTTTCTAAACCTATAAAATTAATTAGTCAATAAAATTTTTAATTAGGTTATTGTGAAAGTTTTATTTATCTAATAACATATAAAATAATGATTAAATATCTTATGCCAAAAATAAGAGAGGTGGTGTTTATAATGAATACAAACGCCACCTCTCTATAATAATTATTTAATAATTTATAATTTTAAATAATTTTAAATTAATCAATATATATATATACAAATTTGTAATTATTTATTTAAATTAATTAATCAATATAATTTTAAATTAATTTATAGCAAAAGTTTTATTTATCTAATAACATATAAAATAATGATTAAATATCTTATGCCAAAAATAAGAGAGGTGGTGTTTATAATGAATACAAACGCCACCTCTCTATAATAATTATTTAATAATTTATAATTTTAAATAATTTTAAATTAATCAATATATATATATACAAATTTGTAATTATTTATTTAAATTAATTAATCAAGATAATTTTAAATTAATTTATAGCAAAAGTTTTATTTATCTAATAACATATATAATAATGATTAAATATCTTACACTAAAAATAAGAGAAATGGCATTTATAAATGCCACCTCTTTATAATAATTATTTATCTAATAACATATATAATAATGTTTAAATTTTCTCTCTATAATAATTATTTAATAATTTACAATTTTACAGAATTTTGTATTAATCAAAATGAATAAATATATATAAATTTTTTAATTGTTTAATAAATAAATTATATTATGATAATTTTGTAAGCCTATAAAATTAATTAATCAATAAATTTTTTAATTAATTTATAGTGAAATTTTTATTTATCTAGTAACATATATAATAATAATTAAATATCTTGTCCTAAAAATAAGAGTGGTGGCGTTTATAATGACTACAATTATAAATTTAGAGTATTTTAGTTAGTTAAATTAAATATATATATATATATACACACACACATACAAATTTGTAATTGTTCATTAAATATATTATATTGTGATACTTTTATAAACCTATAAGTTTAATTAATTACTAAAATTTTTTATTAAGTTAAAGTGAAAGTTTTAATTATCTAACGGCATATATAATAAGTATTAAATATATTGTAAAGAAAAAGACGTGGCATTTATTCTGCATAGGTTAAACACCACCTATCTACAACTATTATTTAATAATCTATAAATTTAGTGTATTTTTATTTAATCAAATTAAATAGATATATATACAAATTTGTAAATATATTTATCTACAATATATAAAATAAATATTTGATATTATAAATATAATATATAATGGAATATAAAAGAGGTGGCCTCTCTTATTTTAATTTGTAAAAAAATAGACAGGTGGCGTTTTTCAAACTTCTGAAATGCCATCTATCTGAATTTAATGTATTAATTAAAAATATATATTTTTTATTAATTATAATTAAGTAATTATGTTAAAATTATTTTATGATTTATTAAAATAATTAGACAAATTAGATAGGTGGCATTTTATTATTGAAATGCCACTAAATATGAGATTAACTAGAAGCTATGGCATTTCATTTAATAGATGCCACCTTTATTTATTTATTAAAATTTTTACTGAATGTATAATTTATAAGTGGTGGTATTTGATACTAAAAATATTACCTAAGGTGTTTGGATTTTAGTATTAGTGGTATTTTATATTTTATTGCTGCAAAATGCATACTACTAAATTCTATTTCTGTATTAGTGCATGTTAATACTCTAATATGGATATTCATTAAGTAAGTGAATTAATTAGGTTAATCATTAAATTCCAATCCGTTTTAAATAGTTTAATATATAAAATTTTATTGAATATATATATCTATGTATCTTTATTCACGTTACTCATTGATTTTATAATGTTTCTATTTTTTTTATTTTGGATATGTTATCATTTCACATAAAGCTGTGGTCTTTTTTTATAAGAAATGTCATTAATTTTATTATCACAAGTTTTCTTTTTCATTATCCACTAAATGTTGAAAAGAGAAAATGTGCAATTAAAATTTGTATATTGAATTGAAAACTTATCATATTGTTAAATGAATTAATGAATTTTAAGAATTTCTTTGATTCTAATAAAATATGTTAAAGGGAATGTGATTATAAATATGATAAGAATTAATATCAAAGCATAAGTTTTTAAAAATTTCCAATATGGATTCTGAAATATAGGATCATGACAGATGAATTTGAAAATATGATGAGATTCTAATTTGAGGTTAATTTTCTTATAAGGGGATTAGTTGACAATCTTAGATCAGAAAATCATTTCATTCGTTCTTTGCAATTTTTTTTTTTTGTTTGACCCATTTTGTTCATTGCACTCAATACATTCATGGACTTTCATATTCAATTGTAGTAGTATGGTACTGTTTTGAACAGTTATTATTTATAATTTGATTAAATAGATATCTTTATTAACGCCAGCAAAATACCCATGTGTCTATAACGGTTCCTTTAAATATAGGTGTAATCCTTCACTTTTATAATTTTTTATGGGCAAGATTCATATAATTTGCTTTATAATACTTGATATAATTTTATCTGATAAAACCAAGACATGTTAATTTTGATATGTTAATAATATTAATAATAAAAATTTGTTATAGATTAAATAATTTGTAAATGATACACATATTATGATTTAATTAAAAACAAGTACTTTAAGTATAACAACAACAACAGCCGCTGCTACTACACTTTTGAGAGAAATTTTAAATTATAAAATATAAAACACTTTAAAAAAATTAAAATTTTATTATATAAACTTATTTTAATGTTGCGCTTTATCTATCTATCTAATGATGTCCCTCTCTCTTTTTAATACATTAAATTATGTATGTTTTTGAAAGTTAATGTTTTTGTTTTAAAAAAATAAAATTATTAAGTGCTTTTAATAATTAATTTTATTAGTACGTGAGATTGTTTAAAGTATTTTATAGTTTGAAATGAGGGGAGCATTAGTTTGTATGAAAGTTCATAAGCTTTCAAGATTAAAAGAAACCTAACATTGACTTTCCTATATCATTTAATTTTATCTTCCTCCATTCTTGACAAGTTATCAATTCTAGGAAGATTTAGGTGCAGTAAATTCATCGTGATTCTTTAGCCTAGTGAAATTTACTCCCTATTGACCAATAGTTTAAAGGGAGAACTGTACTCAAAGCCCTCAGAATGTATATATTTGCCAAAAAGGCCCAAATGATTCTGATTTGTCCATGCAAGCCCAACGGACTCGTTTGGCATTAAATTCCTTCACCCAATTATCTTAGCGTTTTCCTGATTCAGTTTTGATGCTCAGTGCCGTTTGGCAGTGTTATTTTTTTTAAACCACATATTCATTATTATAATAATAAATAAATATTATAAATTTATTATTTTAATATTTAATAAATAAATAAATATTAAGATATTAAAATTGAATCTAAATAGTTCAAATAAAAATTTTAATTTATACAATTTACAATTGTACTAAAAAAAATAATTTGAAAAGTTTAAAATAGGGGTTGAGTTTAGCAAAATGAGCTAGTTTTTTTTAAAGTGTAACAACTTAATGTTTGAATTTTTATTAAGAGAAATACTTATATTTAAAACTCGATTATGCCTTGAATGATATTACCTCTCATAAATAAATAACTGTGCAAAATTAATAAAATAAAAAAAAATATTTTTAGTTACAATTCTAATTTTTACAGTA